ATCACTTCTAATAACGAATTATTCAAATAAGCGCCTAGTGAACCAAAGCGATCTTGCCTTGGCCACTGATAAGGGCCATCAGTAAATCCTCTTATTTCATTGTTTCCGACTGAATGGGATGAATTCCCAAATGGCAGGGTTGCAAATGTCTAATTTTTTATTCTAATAAAATGAGTTTGATGAAGTTAAAATAATGAGATGTATTCACCCTATTTCGTCTAAGGTGATGAAGGTAGTCTCGAAACCCTACTAACTTACGAATAGAAGTTAAAATAGACACATAAGCTTAAATAACAAAGAATAGTTGAACTGAGTCGACCGAAGAAACCGAAACATGCATATAAAGAAAAGTGTCAAATATTTGCAAACGTTTAAAGATGCCAAGCATTAAAAGCTAATTTATAAAATATAAAATATAAATATGGCGTAGATGCTAACTAGAGGACTTACCATAATAGACCTGATTAGATTTTATAGAAGAGATAAGTTGTTGGTAAATGAATGCCTCTCCGAGGCGGCCTGTCTCGATAAATCTAAGACTAGACTGATCAGAAACAGGAGATAGCATATGTTGAAGACGATTGATAACTTCTGCGGGTAGAACTTCGCCTTCCAGGGCATCTCGCCAAAAGTTTTGTGCATCGCCCAAAGATTTAGTAGTGGTTGAATTGGCGCCGCGACCTATGGAATGTGGTAAAGTATAAAAGCGTTAGAACACAAAAGAATAAATACCCTTTTAAAAAAGGTAAACCTCAGAAATATTTCAAGTACCAGATCTATGATATCATTCAGTACAAAAAATAAAATTATAGGATCCAAAGAAAAAGTATTGGGGAGCCTTTCATTTCGTATGAAAGTGCATAAAGAAGAGATTTGTGAGTAGAAAATTGAGTAGGAATTGCTTATAGAGGTTGTTTGACCTTGTTTTCGCAACTTGGTTATATTGGTAGAAAGACTTAGAGGAACGCCCCGTAAGATCCGTCTGCCCTCTCCCTGGTTCACATATTTCACTCGACCCTTGCCACCCCATCTGTGCCACCCGAGGCGTTATTAGCCCTGCCTTGCGTCTGAGTGACAAATTCGAGACTAAAGCCTCTGAGTAGGACCTAGGGAAGGAGGACTGCATAACATTATAGCGGACTCTGATCAACATTCCCAACACAAGAATGAAGGGGGGTAAGAAGGCCAGCGCGGAGTGCGGAGGGTTGTCATGAAAGCCGCTCAAAGGGCACATTGTACCACATTTAATTAAGCAAGTAAAAAATTGTGACAGTGAAGACGTGATAGGAGGGTATGGGAAATGTGAATAGCCCGGGACGTAAGAGGAGATACCACAATTGTTTATCACACATTTGGTCAAAGGATGGGCTTCACTTGTCTTTTTGACGAGCTGTAATATGGTGCTACGAATGGCGAGACTCACTGTCGATGCCGGCGAAACGTCTGGGAATGTACCACGTCCATGGTCCTACTCTGAAAAGGATGATGCATACAGCGAACTCCGGACTAGGTGCGTTCTTCTAAGTCTTCCTACCAATGTGACCAAGTTGCGAAAACAAGGTCAAATAACTTATAAAA